GTTTTACTATTAAAAGCAGATAACAAAATCCTAATAATTCTACAAATGTGAAATTCTGTAGAAGTTTTATTGTTCAAATTATCTGTGTTCATTTTAAAATTGTTTTATTAGTCAAGAAAGATAATTTTGAAAGTTCAACTCAAAGAGAAAACTATTTATTCGAATACATTTGTCCAGTACTTTGTATATGATAATCGTTTGATAGAGGACACAGCCATGCATTGAACGAGTTATCTGTTAAAGCCACACGTCTTTGCAGATGCAATCTGTCTTAATTTAAATTAGCAACGGCGCTCGCTAAATAATAATTATTCGCAGGCATACAACAACGCGCGCGCGCGTGTGTGTATGTGTGTGTGTGTGTTAAGCAAGTTGCATTATTTATATACTGCTCAAAATTATAGAAACCAAGGATGTTATGTTTCCATATATTTGTACAACTTTAGGATATACCTTATTTTTGAGCAACATATAAGCAAATTGCAGAACAATGTGTTACAAAGAATCCTGCTCAGCATACACAGAGAAAGTTTCTTTTTTTTTCCTTGAACACGAACACTACAGGCACTCTGTTTTCAAATACACAAAAAAAAAACCTTTAACCGTAAGTGTTTATGATTAAAGAAAAAAAAAAAAAAAGAATCACACGCATGTTCACTGAAGGATTATATAAGAGGGAGTAACAAATTTCATGTTAAACAGAAAATGTATTTCCAAATAGTCTTAAATAAGTAACAAAACATATATGTATATATATATATATGTAGTACGAAATGCCATGTCTTACCAAAAAAAGTACAAAAACAGCTTAAAGACATATGTAAGTATACATAATTGCTGACACAAAAATAGAACTACGATGATGCTCCACAGTGTGGTGGTTTGAACAAATTTGAGAAACGATGAGGCAAAATCAACATAGTAACAGCAGCAGCGGCAACTAGAAAAACAGAGTTACAATATTTGTTGACCTAGGCAACGTCCAAAAAAACAAACTTCTAAAACCAGCCTTGTGTGCAGAATACAACTTAGCGAGTGTCTTTTCTCTTTTCTCTTTAACCACAAGCTGCCACTGACTAGCAGGATACAACATTTCTTTTCGTCTCGTTTTTCTTGCTTGTTCACTAAGAGATCATCACACACAAAAAACATATTTTCTATCACAGCAACACTACGTATGTTTGCATATCTCTTTTTTTAGTTTTGTGTCCGTCTGCAAGGAGATATCTTTTTTTTTTTCGTCATCAACTCAACACCACTGCTAGAGTCTTCTCTTATTTTTTTTTCCTTACACGTGAAACAATTTCATGCGCACAACGTCGAAAAACTCGTAACAAAAACAGAGAGAACACAGAGAAACAAAACAGGCGCGACAAGAAACGTGTCTCCATTAATATTCGCAGAAAATTTGCTGCATTACTTTCGTTGCACGCATTAGAACGCAAACAGCATTTTCAATCTTCGCTGTACTTTGACTTAGGTGCAGCCATATCTGGCAAACAATTCAAATATTAGACATGTTCTCACATTTTACAACACACGCCGTCGATGATGCGAAAGTCATTCGATTCAAACCTATTCGAATGGAAAATTCAATTCGAATCCAAGGAGTGTCCACATCCTCGGCAGCGTGTTCCAAAAAAAGATACAAAAATTTTGTACACCTTGCAACTACATTACAAAATTCATTACAATGACCACTACACCTGATTTTCACTTGCACGCATGTCATCGCGAGGAAAGAAAAGAAACGAAGAAAAAATTAACATGACAATTTAAAAAATGAAAGAGAGAGAGAGACAGAGAGAGAGAGAGAGAGAGAGAGAGAGTGCTCAGCTAAATATCTGTCTCATTTGTTGTTGTATGAAAAAACTTCTCAAGACAAAGTTACACTATTTCAGGGGATACATGTAATTATGGAAACGGTTTTTTTTCAAGGTCATTTTTTTACGAAACTTCAAGATCATCGTTATTTTTTTAACTGGAACCCTATATTTTTTATTAATATCCTTGTACCAAGTGAAAAAACAAATTCAACGACCTTAACACTAGGTTTACGGACATTTCTTATATACCTATCTCTACGGACACGCGTCAAATTGACACGTGAACAAAACCACAGATTTTCTTTAGCAAACAACTTATTTCATTTAAAAACAACATATTATACACTATTAACTTATAAATGAAACTATGTGATATTATATATTTATATAAAATTTATAATCAGCATAAATGGTAGAAGAGAAATGTAAACGGTTTCTGTAGTTGTCCTTGTGAAATTCGAAATGCGTCAAAATTACGCGTCCCGTAAACCTAATGTTAATAACCATACCATTCCCATCATTCAATTTCGAGATATTTGCGTTTGAAGGTAATTAAAATTTTCTAAATGTTCTCGCGATACACTAATTCATACATTCATATCCAATTACAAGTCTTACCTGTTATTGGAAGCGGTAATAAAAAATACTTTTACAACTTATTGTGAATTCCAAAGGTTAGAGATACCCAAAAGATGACCTTTTGCTGCTATGCATAACTAGAATCTTTTGATCAATTCTTCATACGCTTTTTCTATTTCCTGCGATGTTATGAATGCACATGCAGCTGCAATTCTCTCCTTCATATTATCCTGTTGGTTTTTCACGATAAACCATACCTTTTGGTTTATCCTACATATAAAAATCTAATGGGGTAAGATCCAGAGAAGGAGCTAGCCACTTCACAGTTCCTCGTCGTCCGATCCAACGTCCTCTATACATCCTGTCCAACACTGTCCTTGCACACGTCGAATAATGTGGTAGGCAACCATCATGTAATGTTTACGTTCGTATGCGAACGTGTGACTTGATGTTCTTGAGTAAATCTTTAGGAAATTTTAATTATCTTTGGACGGAAATATCTCGAAATTGAATGAAAGAGATGGTATTGTTATTGAGGTCGTTGAAGTTGTTTTTTCACTCTCTACAAGGATATTGAAAATAAAATATCGAGTTCCATTTAAAAAAATGACGATGACTTGAAATCTCGTAAATAAGTGACCTTGAAAAAAACCGTTTCCATAATTACATGTGTCCCCTGGAAGAGTGTAACTTTGTCTTGAGAAGTTTTTTCATACAAGTAAGACAGATATTTAGGTGATCCCATTTAGCTGAACCACCCTGTGTGTGTGTGTGTGTGTGTACAGAGAGAGAGAGAGAGAAAGAGAGAACAAAAAAAAATTTTCCTCTTTAAATCTTGGTGCTTCTACGATTTCAACAATGGCAATAACAACACTCAATCGGTTTACTGCGACTTTTAGTAAGAAAGATTTATAGAAAGCCAAAATGCAGATCTCACCTGTCAGTAAAAATCGATATCTACACGATAACGTTTATTCACACGACAGAACAATTATTTCTAAACGATTTTTACTTTAAAAGTTTATGTTTAATTGCACGTCGAAGTGACAATTTCTACTGTCAGGTTAAAAAATGAAAGAAACTCGGGCAAGACTAGTAGTCTATATCGAAGAAAATCGAATCGAAGCTACTTACCCCGACTCTGGTTATAACCGGCTTGCCATCCAGCGTAGTATGCCGCCTTCTGTTTCCCGTGTTCCTCCGCAACTTTTACGCTAAGTGGCTCCGATCCACCTTCCGGTATCGTGCCGTGTAACCGTACGATCGCCTCTTGCGCTTCCTCTCGTTTATCAAATCTATGTAACACACAAAACAATCGAATTGGAAATTTCAATTCGAGAACTAACATCGAGAATTTCCTCTTGGCAAATAATGAACATAACCTCTGCCAGATACCTGGCTCCTATACGAGGATTTATCAAGAACGTTCTAGAGCGTGATATATAGAGCATAATATCTGCCAAAATTAAGAGAAATTATCAAACCAGTTTGGATTCTATTTCCAGCTGGTTGACACACTTCTCGTATATGCAAGTGAAACCCACGGCACAGAACTGTGCAAAAATAATTTGGCAGCAAAGATCTTGGAAAATAAATACAGGTATCCGATACGCGCGAATACGTGTTGCATAATGGCAAGGCGGTTTCTCTTCCTTTAAACAGATGTATCTGACACCTTTAAGGTGCTCTGTTCCAATTTTCCGAAGACACGGTTTACATGCGTACAACCACAACATGAAAATAATTGATTGACCAAACAAATGCACAAGGACACTTTGTGCATAGATACTTTTATCATACCTTGCTGCCAACTTAAGATATTATGTTACTAATTATGACAAGAATGGCAATATGCCAAGAAGTATGAACTATACTTTCCATTAGCATCGTAATTCATTCTACAATGTTAAATGAAACCCCTCTCTCTTTCTTTAAAAAGGAGAACATACCTTACGAATGCCACACCTCTTGGTAAGCCAGTGAGTTTGTCTTTTAAAATGTTCTTCTGTACGATATTTCCATATTTGCTAAATATATCATCAATTTGACTTTCTGTTATATTTCTGAAATAAAAGTATTCAGTATTATATAATTTCACACTGTGGTAATTTGTACCTGTCAAAAAATAACTAATAAACTGTAACATACCTTGGCAAATTTGTAACATAAAGATTGGTTTCCTTGATCTCCTCACCAGATGGTCGAGCAAAAGATACTTTTAGCCTTTTGTTCTGAACTTGGAGTCCATTTAAGGTATTTATAGCTGTGGCAGCATCTTCAGCTTTCGTGTAATTAACAAAGCCAAACCCATAACTATATCCTGTCTATAAAACAATAATCTAAATGTACATTATGCAAAAGTGCGATAAATGTATTACATGATGTTAAAATGTACCTACTTTGTAGTCTTTCATGACACGGCAGGATTCCACAGAACCAATAGTTACAAACAGACTATAAAGATCCTTCTCTGTCATACTCTGTGGAAGATAATTGATAATAAGATTTGTTCTTGGCTCTTCATTGCCTTTGGTTTGATGCTGTTGTTGTTGTTGCTGCTGCTGTGACTGCTGCTGCTGTTGAGTCTGAGGCTGTTGTTCTCGTGGATCTGTCATTCTGGTAAATTCTTGAGCTACTTTCTGATTTGCCTGTTGATTCAGTGTCTCTTGCCGATCTGTTGTTGCTGCTGGCTGAGAGTTCTGCGGCTCTGATTGCTGCGTACTCCAACTGATACATCCCGGCGAAACCGTTGGTGGGGTCAGCAAATACAAAAAATATAAACAAAATCATTACTACGTCTTCCCCGTACAATGCCATGATCGTTGCTCAGTCTGTAGTTTCAAATGTTCTCACTTTCTTTAAGCAATTGAAAATAAATAGAAAATAAATCTGCATATATACATATTCGTATATGATGTCAGACCTGTGTGTCAGAAACAAACAAACAAAGGCAAGTAAGGACAAAACGGAACTAGCAAGTAGCCATGAATGAAAATGAACTAAATCAAACCGATATGTAGCATGTTAATTGAGCTAAAGGAAAGAGAAAACTGTATTTCACTATTAAACAATTATGTGTATACTTCGATTCTATTATTCAGAAACAAACAGTTTCGATTCACGACGAATACAATGTACGAACAAGTGTTCACCTATAAACTGCCTATGTATCATAACCTTTTCATGTGCAAATGTAACACGTACGCGATAAATTGAGAAAAATGCCATTTGACCGTACATACACGCATACAAAAATGTTTCGACAAAATTATTTCTCGCAATACTAACGTTTTCACAGATCTCGTATAGCAAGTTCACATAGAATAGTGCGGGG